TCGGGTTCGCCTTCTCCTGGCGTTGTGCGTTCACTGCCATTCAGCAGGCTGGAGAAGTGTTCCCTCCATAATTTAAGTATGCTCTGGGCATCGGTAACTAGATCACCTTTGGGAGTTCTACAAGAGTATGCTCCGGTCTTGAAACYTTCTGTGAGCCGCCGCATTTTTTCGTAGATGTTGTGATTTGAAATTACGAAGGGAGAGGGATCAGCTTATCGTCCAATTTTTACACCACTTTCTCTGAAACTCCTAAGTACATAGTAATATATGGGGAGTAGACGTAGCTATCATATGACTTCATCAGGTTTCTCACTAAGAGATAGGGTATCAAAAGAATCCTCCTCCTCAGCATACTTGGTCGTTTTAACTTCATTTTGAGAGATAGGTGCTTTAAAGCTAGTTTGTAACGTGAATTGAAGCTTGGTTATATTACTTTGATAATGATATTTTGTAGCCCTGAAAATAGTTCTATTACGCCTACCTGTCATACTAACATTCTTATGGTGCCAAGAAGTAAATGACCAAAACTTTTATACGATAACTCAATTTTCACTCAGATTATCGCTAGTCCGGAAAGRCAAATAGATATTGACTGAAACTTTATCATCCTGTTCATGTATATAGCACATATTGTTCGGCTCCCACCTTACGAGTATTTGTAATTACTTCACTATTAGCCAGCGGTTCTGACGAAATTTATCATATTTTATGAGGCTGACCTTTCCTTCAATCGTCAAATCGTCATCCGTTTATCTTCTATAAATAATAGTGAATGAAAATTTACCTTTGGTCTTTTTAATAGTAGTATATGTTGCTCTTATGTATTTATTAGTTTCGACCAGGAAAATTCCTACAAGTATTCTATGAGGTCAAGACATTTTCTATTAAATTTCCTTATGAATTGCGTTGCTGAATTCCTGATTGAAATTTATTCAGCTGCTGTCAAATTAAAACGATTTATGTTTAAGACGGTAATATTAGCTCASCTGTCTTTATGTCTTATCGTGCTTAGGCAAAAGCGCCTATAAAATCAACACTCGTAGGTAGATAAACGAAGAATCGTAAAAATTATATGGTATATAATTATCCATGTATGTATGTATGAATGTAAAGCAAATTCAAAAAAACAAATATTATCTACAAATCGCTACTCAGAGAATAAGCAGCATTTCCGCTTCAGTTGAAGTACTCGCATTCCTCCAATATTATCACACACTTGGGACACTCATAAATTCCAGCACATATCTGAACAGGTAGCTGAATATGTAAACATTTTAGCATGTGTATATATATACAGATATGTATGTATATATTATTATATATACATTTATATTTTTATCCTTGAATGTGTGGATATTCGGCATTCATTTCGAGGCGAAGCAACTTATCTCACCCAACTCCACTAAAAGCTTCAACACCTTTGCCGTATGTGCGTCTTCAACGAGAACATTTTATTGTTGTTATTGTTATCGTTGTGACTGTTTGTTTTGCAGATCATAA